GTTATTAGGAAATCTTCATAGAAGCCTGTTTTTTGTAACATCGTGCAAGTGGTTATGCAATCTCCGTATTCTTGGATAATATAGTGGGAAGTTGGGAACTTCCTCTCGATTGGCTGGGGATTTTCCATTTTTGGGTTCATTGTGGAGCACTACGTGGAGGTCGTCTGATATCGGCTGTATCACACTGTCACATTCCCCAATGTATGTCCACACATAAGAGATGTCGTACCTAATCATTTTCATGGGTTCCACGGGCTGCTCAAGCGGCCTATGTGAACGAAGTCTTAAGCTTGTGTTAACCACAGAGCTTAAGACCTTGTTCACATAGAGGGGGTTTCTTCGAGAAGAGGTAACCAGAGGTGCTTAAATGCTAACTCATTTCTGGGTTTTAGGACTGATTTCTGCAGCACTCTAAATGATTTTAGAGTAACCGTCAACCCATGATATTATAAACACTTTTTTTTCACTTGGTACAACCTCACAGAGCTCTAATTAGAGCATAAAAGACTTAAAATTGATATTTATTAATTACACTATATCTCACATATACACCCACAACTGTAGAGCCAAATGTTTTGGAATAGTAGACATTTTAAAATATGTAATTGGCTCCTGGGGATTTAGCCGAGGGGATACTTAAGGCCTTTTAGTTAATTACAGATTAATGGTATGATTCAATTTTGGAATAGAGTAGTAATATCTCATGTGTCAGTGTATTTGCATGTCCAGAAGAAGTACTGTAATGGAATAAAGTCTCCATTAACTTGGTAGATAGATTTTAACTTTTAACACTGTGAATTAAGTGACTGTCCTGTGTCTATTTTTGTGGTCTTTTAAACAAGACATGATTGTACAAAGCATCCACATCAGTAGAATCAGATAAAATAATCTAGTTGTCCTGAACTTGCCTTTTGTTCCCTAGAAATAGTAATATCTGTAAAGTTGGCCAGTTATGATAAGAAGTCACATTTAGGGGCGGCTGTGGCTCAGAGGTAGAGCGGTTGTCGGTTCAATCCCCGGCTCCTCTCGCTGCACTGCACTGTCCTGTTTGAATGTGTATGAATGCTTGAGTTCTGATGAGCAGTTGGCACCTTGCATGGCAGCCACTGCCTTTAGTGTGTGAATGTGTGCGTATGGGTGAGTGTGGCATGTAGTGTAAAGCGTTTTGAGTGGTTGAAAAGACTAGAAAGGTGCTATATAAGTACAGTCCATTTACCATTTACATTTGACAATGTTGTTGATATCTGACTAATGACACCTAACACTGCTGTTGACAGCTCTGCACCTGAAGGTACCCCGTGGAGTTTCTTAGCTGTGGATTTGTTTTTTAAAGGAGTAGGTCCCTGTGGGTGACACACAGTTCTACCGATGGTTTCACACTATTCCAGTGATTTACAATGTTGGTGGTCACACACCAAGAAATGCAGGTAAAGGCAGCGAAGAGGGAGGCTGCAAGCTAACAACCAGGATTTAAAATACTTAAATACTTAAATGTTTTTTAAAGAAAGAAGTACATTTGAAGAAATGCATCCTCAAGTTTTTTTTTTGTTAAATTACACTGAAATGGAAACTTTGTTTACAAGAAAACTCCACCTTTAAGCTAACGTTAGCTTCACAGAAGAAGAGGAAGAACCACTTCAGCCCCAAAACCTGGAGGTCTCAATTATGAAGTGATAAGCTTAAATAAATAATTTAATGTTTAGTTAAGTTTTATCGGTAAAATTAGTAGAACCCTGTTCACCTGCTAGCTACCTGTTAGATTATTCTTGTCTCACAAGTAATTATCATCCTGTTGAGTTTACGTGCATTTTTGTTTGAGTTTTCCTCACCATTATAAGATTGGGCGCTGTGCCTAAGCCAGATGGACAGAAAAACTATGCTAAGATGCAGCATTTTCTCACATTCCTATTATTAATGTCTGAACATTCTTGAGAATCAAGAGTTATTAATTGCCCACATGATTATGCTTATTATTATCTCAGTGCCATAAAATGGTCTTAAAATGTCGTTAATGTTATTTATTGCAATTATTTCTGGGACAATATATCATCCAACAAAAGTAGGCCTGGATAACAGCACTTTACATTTGAAAATGTGCTCTTTCAGATTGCGCTTTTTGATAAGAAACTGAATTGTTCAACCCTGATCTACATTCTATGATACAGGTAACCAGTGAGCACAGGGTGTAAGCGCTGAATATTCCCTCTGCTCCTCTGTGCCTCCAGGTCTATGTGTCCTATGACTACGGGACCACATTCACACTCGTCTCAGAGAAGTTCCAGCTTTCAGGGGTCAAGGCCAAGGAAGGCAGCAAGCAGGTCATCTCCCAGTTCTACCACAGCCCCGCAGACAACAGGAGGGTAAGTCACAGTCAGTGCTACTAACAGGCTAGGCTGTGCAATATGGTCACATGGTCTTTAAAACAAATGTTCTTGGGCAATTAGGAAGTCCCCTGCTAAAGGTGAGGTTATGAAAATGAGCTGAAATGTACAGTAGGTGGGTGTAGACAGGACTGGAAAGACAGGGTTTATGTTAGCTGGCATATATTGGCTTTTGCCCAGTATCACGTGTAGTTGTCCATCCACAGTCAAAATGTCTGGAAGGAAATATGCCAAATAAATAAATGAATGCATATATTCATTAATAGCATACTACATAGCCTAATATTGTGTGACCTATAGGATATATTGCCAAGACAACTTAAAGGAAACTTGTATTATGCAAATGTTTGATTGTGCCTCTACTGTCATTGAGAGATTCACAGAGTGCTCTCTGTCTGTATGTGCCTAAGAGTGTGTGATCTTGACAACTGTTCATGTGATCGACTTCACACGAATTTGGTGCAATTTGGACACACAGCATGTTCAGTATTAATAAACACAGAATAAACAAGGGAACAGCGCTCTGGGGTTTCAGTGCAGCACGGAGCGTCTCTCCTGCCGGCTGCTGACAGTGCTGTCACCTGAAGAGCTGATCACACAGCACAGTTGGAGGAAGAGACGTAGAGATGCTGTTACACATGTGTTTAAACAGGAGTTTAGCCCAGTTTGCTGCATTTAGGCTACTGTTAATCTATTGGAACTGAGAGTGGAAGAGTATATATTTAAGACATTTGTGTTTTTTTGTGTGTTTTGCTGCTGTTTAAGTGTAATGGCAATTATATGGCTATTTAAAACATATGTCCAGTAGTTGTTCTAAAAAACTGGAATATTAACAGCCATGTTTGCTGTAAAAAAAAATACTACTGATGCCAACTGCGTGGATTATGAACACATCAGGTACAGTAGGGTTTTAAATTTGTCATATAGAAAAGAACTGCATTAATTCTGAGAGATGCCACTGGGTTCTTGGTAATGTCTTCCATGTCCATGACACCGCTTTGCTTGTTTACGGAGCCAAACAGTTCTAGGGAAGTGTCTCAGGTATTTCACAATTTTTCCATTCTACAGTGATGGAAGCCATTGTGCTCCTGGGTACTGTTTATGCTTAAGGGTTGTGATTCTTGTATTATACCTGTTCTTTTACAATCTGTTCCTCAACACATATCTATCTTGGAGATCTACCAAAGGTCTATGAAGTTATTTCGACATCCTGGCTTTGGTTTTTTATGTGACATACACTTTTAACTTTTGGTCCTGGCCTTTTTCAAAAAATCGGCACAGTTTGACTGAACTCCATTAAGGTTTTTCATGTACTATTACTTGCTGTGCTTCTAATAGCTAGCATGGCTGTAGTGAAGATAATAATTGAGTCCAGATCAGTTCCAAGACCCTGTTGAGTCCGGTATGAGGTCCAAATGAAGTGGAGTTTATAATGAATTAATAGAGATGAATATATCTCAGCAGCTTAAATACAGCTTGTTAGTGTATAGAAATTGAAAAGCTGTTGCAATTGAACACTTGCATTTCACTTTGGAAGCTACACTGCTGGAACTGAGAAATATGATTCTTTTTTTATACCTTTTCTGCTATCTGTTTCTCAACACAAGTCTATCTACCAAATTCAGAGGTCTATGGAGTTGTTTGGACCAGGGCTGCACAATTAATAGAAATATTATCAAAATCACAATATGGCCAAGTGCAATATGCAAATTTCAGAAGCTGTGTGATATTAAAGATAATAAGCTGTTGCTAGTAAACATACAGATGCAAATAAATTAGTGGTCTGCATGTCCTTCACTGGCACACATCTTTTACATAGCTTGTAAAATTTAGTAATTCTTTTGTAATATCTTTAAGGCCTCCGCACACCAAC